AATGTAGTAGTATTGTCAGCTTGGAAGAGGGAAAGAGGTTAGAATTGAGGATGAAAACTGAAGAGGAAAATGCCAGAAAGGAGAGAACCACAGAGGGGAAGCTCCAAAATTACTGTACAAATTCCCCCCCCCCAAATCCTTAGTTAACCCCTAAATTGTATACGTGTAGATACAGACTCCAAAGAACCCAAAAGCTCCCCAAAGACGGCAGTAAATACCTGGGAGGCAGAGAATTCAATACTGCCTAGAAGATAGAATTTGGAGTTCAAGTGCTGCCAAGTTAAAGGGGCTTAGCAAGTACTTAAGGCTTTTGATTTAATTCCAGAAAAACCATGCCTTACAAATAAGCACAGGACTAAGGGTTATACCCTAAGGATATAGGCAAAACCAAAATAAACCTATCTGAACAAAATCTAAAGACCAAGCCTCTACAAGCTCAAGTGGATACACCAGTAATTTGACTGCCTGCTAGAACAAAACATTCTTCAGAGGAAGACAATAAAATACACAGTATTTTCCATGTATCATCCAAAATGTCCAGTATACAATTAAAAACATATAGACATGTGAAGAAGCAGGAAAATATGACACACAATCAAGAGAAATAATAGTTAATAGAATCAGACCCATCGATGAATCAGATGTTGGAATTAGCAAACAAGGACTTTAAAATGGTTATTATAAATATACACAGGACTTTCAGGAAATGAAGAACAGAATAAATAAATGGATAGAGAATTTCAGAAGATAAATGGGACCCATAAAAATAAATCTAGGTAAATTCTAGGACCAAACAATAAAGTACCTGACATAAAACATATTTTGGATGAAATTAATAGCAGATAACATACTGTAAAAGAAAAGATCAGCAAACTTGAAGACAGGTAATAGAAATGATCCAAACTGAAGAACAGAGTGAAAAAAGATAAAAATGAATAAATACACGGAGCTTCAGTGACCAGTGGGACAACACCTCGTGTGTAAATGGAGTTCCAGAAGGAGACAGGAGAGAGAATTGGGCAGAAGAAACATCTGAAGGAATAATGACCCCTGCATTCCCAAATTCAGTACGCAACATTAACCCACAGACCTAAGAAGCTCAGTGAAGTCTGCATAGAGTAAACACAAAGGACGCCACATCTAGTCACACCACAGTGAAACTACTAAAAATCAAAGATAAAGAGAAACCTTAAAAGAAGTCAGAGGGAAAAAGACTTACTATGTACACAGGAACAACAACAAGGAAGAGGGCTGACTTCTGATCAGAAACAACAGTGTAGGCCAGAAGACCATGGAAAGGCATTTAAAAAGTACTAAAAGGGGAGGGGGGGGCTATTTGGGATACGTAACGCTTGAAATGCTTGTGAGACTCTGAGGTTGCAAGATACAGCAAGTTCCCCTCTCAAGCACCCCCTGTAACACACGTTATCCATGCACTCCCACACACTCCTACCACACACACAGTATCTCAGTTCACCATCCCAACATTCTCAACAGAAAAAAGATTGTATCTGTCAGGAAGGTGATAAGGGATGAAAACATATGAAATCATTTATACAAACTGTGGGACATAGTTAAGATTCTTTGTATTCTGCCACCATGTAAATATCACACATTTTTTCATCCTGATAAAAACTCTAATAAGAAACATGAAGATTCTCTCTTCCTTAAATGCTTTCGTCACATGATGTTTTAGTCCAACAGGCTGGTGGAAAGGTGGGAATAGTGCTCCTAGAGGAGGTCAGGGGGATTCCAAGACTCAGGAGCCATCACGGTAGAAACTTGGCAAAGATGTACTGGGTAAGAACGGGGAGAAGTTTGGGAGCAGCAGCAGCACATGTTTTCTGGGCAATTCCAAATGCCGGGCATTGTGGTAAGTGCTTCAGGTGCATTACCTTAATCCTCACATACGTCTGAGGAGTATTATCATTCCTTATTTTAAAATGAGGCGACAAAGTTTGAAAGAGAATCACAACGTTGCGAGGTTAGTCACAGACTTGGGACTGGAACCCAGGTCTGTTAGACTCTAAGCCACAGCTATTCATCTTCCCCAGTCAGCCACTGCACTGGGCTAGACAACAGAAGGGCTCTGCATGGCCAAGCCCAAGAGTGCCCCAGTGCTCAGGGAACTCACAGCCACGGAGACCATAAAAATTACTACAGCCAACATTTATTGAGCACTTACTATGTACTAGCCATTGTGTGTTACACTTAAGGTGTCACATTTAATTTTCACAACAGCCCTATGAGGCAAATCCCTGTATCATCTCCATTTTACAGGTGAGCAAAGTGAGGCTCAGAGCTACGGTAGGACTAGAATTTGACTTCAAGGCTCAAGCTCCTCAGCAGCATACTCGATTGCCCAAGGCCACCAAAGGGACAGGGGTTATGCAAAGATGGACAGAGCAAGGCCACCCTGGTACTCCTCCCCCACTTGATGAGATCCTAGGAACTTTGAATTGTGAAAGCAAATTTGTTTTCAAGGGACATAGGCTGCATCTGTTCCAGAGGGAGGGGAAAGCCCAGGAAACTCCCCCCTCCCGCTGACCCAGTGAATCCAAATGCCTCTCTCACCCAGATGGCTGCAACCATCTCCCACCAGCTCTGGATGACTTGTCTGACACTCTCATCAAGCCAGGCTGCACTCAACCATTCCTGGGGGCTTTTAAAAGTCTGAACACTGCCACGGGGAAAACCTTTCAGTGGCTTCTGACCATCCTTCGGGTAAAGCCCCACCTCTCACAAGGCCTTATGTTCTGCCCTGCTCCCCTTCTCTCAGCCAAATGCACTTTTCAGCTCCTCGAAAGAACTCCTGCCACCGCTCTCGCCTCAGGGTCTGCTCCACTTCCTACTGCCGTGTAACAAACTACCACCCAAACGTCGGGGCCGAAAGCTACCATTTGCTATCGTCATGGGTTCCGCGGTCAGGAATTCGGATGTGGAACAGTGGAATGCCTCATCTTTGCTCTTGATGTCGGGGACCTCAGCAGGAAGACTCCAGCTGGGGGTGACTCGATGGCAAGGGGAGAGGCATCTTTCCTCACATAGCTGGTTGATGCTGGCTGTCGGCCGGGGCCTCTGCGTGGCAGCTTGCGGGCAGCTGTGCTTCTCAGGCTCCAGCCCGGCTCAGGGCTCCGAAACAGAGCGTCCCAGGGAACAAGGCAGAAGCTGCACTGCCTGCTCTCTCCCAGCCTTGGGAGTCCGGTAGTGTCCCTTCCACTGCATTTTGTTGGTTACAAGCAAGTCACAAACCTATCCAGATTTAAGGGGAGAGGGCAGAGGCCGGACCCCTCAATGGGAGGAGTGTCAAGGTCTCACTGTGGACCGGGAAATTATCGTTGGGGTCATCTCTTTGGAAAAGCAATCCACCACTCAGTCTTTACACGCTATTGTCTCCGCCCAGACCACCATCCTCCCTGCAGCCTCACCACCCCTCGTTCTTACCAGTGTCCAGGTTTCAGCGGAAGCACTGCTTTGTCAGGGAGCCTGGCTTGATTGCCCTGCCCAGGCTCAATCAGGCCTCCGGCTTAGATACTTACTTAGCACCCAGAACTTCTCATGTGCCCCAGTCTGTCTGTCTGTCTCCCCTCCTGAATGCAAGCTTGCCACGGTTCCACCACCAATGGCCTGATCCCGGCCCCTCCGGGCCGCTCCAGGCCTTCTGGAGACTCCATAGAATGGATGGGCATCTTCACCCCCACAGTAGATGTGGGGAGGTTTCTGTCCAGCCCAGCTGTCTGGCTAATGTTGTGGCCTCTAACATACTGGGGTCTTTGGGCAAAGACCTGCCTTCTAAAACGGGATGGGACTGGCAAATGGAAAATGGAGAGTGTCTGAGTACGCTGAAGGAAGCTGAGGCAACAAGAAAAATGTGTCCCCTGCAAGTACAGAAGTGGCAGTCCTTGGGAGAGGAGGGCCACGATGCACCCACCTGCCCAGGGACCGAGAACTTGATACACTGCGCTTAGGGGTGGGGAGAACCCCATTACAATCTCTCTCAATTTGTACCCAAACATCAGTACCACCACCATCATCATCATCACCAATTTTTTTAAGGAAAGAAGAGTCACCACGGATATTTCACATGGCTGTTGCCCAGGCAGAGTGGCACACTTGTGCCTGGTGGCCCCCTTGCCAGTATCTGCCCTCCCTCCTGGAGGAGAGCTCACTCTGTGGGTCCAGTGCCATCTTCCCCTTTCTTGCTAGGACTCTATAAGCACTCACAAGCTCTGCCTTGATGACAGGACTGTGTGGAGGACTCTGATGGTCCCCCATTAGTTCTTCCTTGAAGATCCTGATTGGGGGATGGGTCACAGCAACCCCTGGCCCACCTGACCCCGGAGTCTGAGTTCAGTCCACTGAGTCGTCCTTGCCCTGGACCAAGCCCCTCCCTGAGTGACCTCACAAAATCCTCACCCCGGTCCTTGAGGTAAATTACTAGTATTTGCTCATTTACTGATGCGTGAATGGGATGCCCAGAGACGTGACTTAATCAGGACCACTCAGGTGGGAAGCGACAGCATTTCTCCAGGGCTGCCTCCACCCCCAGCTGTGGTATTTCCAGGTCCTCGGTTCCTGCAGCCCGCTAACTTTCGCAGCACAGATGCTACTGGCTTCTGTGCAGACAGCATCGGGCTCCTTCCCCCAGGGTTCAGAGATGCAATGAAGCCTCCGGAAGGCCATCTGCAGGGGGCTGCCCTGCCTGCCCACCTGGGACTGTGCTGGGGGAGGACCCAGCGCCCTGCAGTTTGTGCATTGTTGCCTGCACAGCTGGAGCAGAGCTCAACCCATTACCTGAGTCAGAGGGGAAGCCATCTGCTTTGCAGAGCAAACCGGGAGCTGCCTGGGGTTTGGGGAGCGGGCGGGCCAGGGAGCAGAGCTGGGCCAGGCTGCTCGTGCCAAGGAAGGAGGGGGCTGCCAAAGAGGGCTGGGGCGGGAGGGGCCAGGCCAGCTGGGGCCGGAGCTAGTGTGACATCACCGGGCGGCCCGCCTCTGTCTGGGGCTGAGGGGAGGCCCGGAGCCTTTCTGGGGCCTGGGGGATCCTCTTGCATTGGTGGGTGGAGAGAAGTGCCTGCAGCCAACCAGGGTCAGGCTGTGCTCACAGTTTCCTCCGGGCGGCATGTAAAGGCTCCACAAAGGAGTTGGGAGTTCAAATGAGGCTGCAGCAGACGGCCTGAGGACCGACCGGAGCCCTGAGCTGTGTCTCCTGAGTCTGGACCTGCGGAGCATGGTCCTGAGGCAGCCGCGGCCCTGACCACAGGAGAAGGCAGGTTGTGAGCAGCCCGCAGGTCCCCTGGCCAGCCCCCGCCCCAGCCCGGCCGAGCTGTGAGACACAGGGCTGTGCAGGCGGAGCAGAGCCAGCAGAGGCCAGTGAGGCAGGGCTGCTTGGTGGCCCAGCCAGCCTGCGACTCAAGGACCCCTCCTGGAGGCCATGGACAGGCTGCCTCTCTGACGCCAGGGGAAGCATGTGAGGAGCTGCCCCAGAAGCCAAGCAGGAGGGAAGAGGTAAGGGGCCAGCTGGGTGGCACCGAGGGACGGGGGAGAGGCAGCAACTGGCCCAAGACCCCTGACCTCTCCAGCTGGGGGGGTGGTGGGTGCAGCTGGATCCCAGAGGGGGTCACTCCTGCTTTCACTTGGAGCCAAACAAGGCATGTGTCGGGGCAGGACCTGTGGATGCTTGGGCGAAGGGTGGTGTTGTGGGCGTGAGGCTATGGGATGGGGTTCCGAGGCTTCATCAGGAAGCCCACTTTCTTCCTCACACAAAAACCCTCTGGGTGATGGCAGTGGCTCCTGGGCCCGCTCAGAGCTGGGTGTGTGCACGAGTGTGTGCTGTGTGTAGGTGTGTGCGTGAGGGGCTGGCAGACAGCAGGGGTGCCTGAGCATTTGGGAAGCTGTTTTGAAGTTTTAGGTTCCTCTGCACTCCGGCTAGGGAGCATATCCAAGCAAAAGCAAAAGCAAACGCTGTCCTGTGGGAGCCGGGAGCCCTCGTTCAGAAAGTTCCCTGGAGCTGAGCAGCTGGTGCCCACACCCTCAGCTGGGGAGGAGAGAGGCAAAGGGCTCTAGCGCTGGGAGAATTTTGTGCCACTGTGACTCAGGGCAAAGTGCTGCCCTGGTTTTCTCTGCATGTCCGAGGACGCCTGGTCCCTCCTCACACTGGATGGTACCCCAGGTATGCCGATCTCCCATACGCTGGATGTGGCTGGGAAAGAGGAGGACTGGCACTGGAGAGGGGGGACAGTGCAGGCTCCACATTCTGAGTCCCTTGAAAGCACTCAGCATTAGATAACATTTCGAAACAAATTCTTCCCCGATCCTTCCCTTCTCCTTCTGTGATATGTATGTCACGGGTCAGCTGTGGGATTACAAGAGCTCCCAGAGTCCAGTTCGGTTACTTAGGAAAGGATCCCCTTTCATTGGGCTCTAAGGAAAGTTGAGAATGCCACTTCCGAGGCTGGCCCACGCTCCCCACATGTACTTTTCCAAATTGAGGCAGAGAAAGGTAGTGCTTATGAGCTAAGTTCAAATCCTAGCTCTTCCACTCATGAGCCAACTGACTCTGGCAGAACACTTAGCCTCTCCAAGCCTCAGTCCCCTTTCCTGTGAAATGGGATGGCAGCAGTGCCCATCTCTTAGTAACAGCTGATACTTATCCTGATCCAACCTGTAGAATCCTCACAACCCCCCAATAACCTAAGTACTGCCCAATTTTACAGGTAGGAAACAGGCACAGAGGGTAAGTGATATGCCAAGGCCACATGGATAGTAAGTGCCAGCCTCGTGACTCAAACCCAGCACTCTAAACCACATTCCCTGCTTTCTAGCAGGGCCACACATGGTCATGCCTGGGAAGGCCTTAGCACAGTGCCTGGTGACAATCTGATTCACAGACAGGAAAGAGGAGAGACCCACATTCTCTCTGTCTTGACCCATCCTGCTAGGGTGTCAGAACATCCACAAGGTCACCCACCTGGGGGTCCTCCCAGGAGTCTGAGGGAGGCTTAATGTCTGGGGTGACCTGCAGCATGTCTGGGTCCTAGAAGTCCACACTAAGGAAGAGTGCAGACGCAATGACAAAAGGAACCCACACCCACATGGGCATTACTTGTCTGCCCGTTGGTCTCCCCACCAGAACCATGGTGGGTGAGGAAAGTGAGCTACCTCTGTGCTGCAGGAGGTCTACGAAACAAGAGGACCAGTGCCAGGCCTGTCCTGGGGCTGCAGAAGAAGAGGCACAGACCCCTGCCCCAAACCCCACCCCTATCACCAAGTCTGCTACATGGTGGCCAAGTCGGATGGATCTGACACCAGCCAACACTGGTACATCTTAGCCCAAGAGAGTAGCTTCTCTCCTAGGGCCCCAGAGGTCTCGGTGGGCTCCTGAACTCCTGGAAGCATGTTGAGAAGCTGATGTTAAATATTTGCTTTTCTAACACTAGGCCTCTGGGGCTGCAGCAGCTCCAGCCTAGAGCCATGGTGGCTCACTGTGCTCTTTGGGAAGCCCAGGCCAAGCAGAGGCTCTGACCAACTTCACAGGGCTGGCTAAAAAAGGATTAATTATTACTCAATAAAGGCAGTCGTGGTGGAGCAAATAAAAATGGGTGAAGCACAGAGCAGGGTGGGGTGAGGTGGGGGGTGGGGTG